CATCCTGTCGATTGAAATCGCATTGTGTTTTCCGGTGCGTACACCGATTGAATGCATGGATACTACTTCTTGGGAATGGATTTGCCATGATGATTCATGGAGTTTCCATGTACTGCAAATGCAGCCTCAAGCAATGTAACGCATGTCATTTTATTGCATGTTGTGGTTTGAACTTATTGGAACACCAGTTCGTCATCACTAACATTCACAATGGGCAAAATACGGTTCCAACATGACTTCGCTTGAACATACTTGAACGATTTGAGGAAATCCCCCGGTTAGGCTCCAGTTCATTTTTCCGTGATCTTGCACAACAACGCAGTGAACAGTGCCAATTTTCTTTTTGCATGCATGTCAATGCTGGCGCATGGTGGCTATGTTGCACGAACGTTGCCGAGTTCGAATGTTTGGGTCTCAATTGCTCCCATCAAATCTGAGTTTGATCATATGTGTTGATTGCAAATGATTGTTTTTGTTAGTTCCACCAGTGGTCGGGCCTTGATCCAATGTGATCAGTGATTCTTGCATATACATATTTCTCATGTGTTCAATGCCTCTTGGCTCGGATTTCAACACGTTTCCCGTCATTGAACCCAGAAATCAAACACCAAACAACAACATTTAGATTACGTTGAACATGGCCACACAAGAAAACAGAAACCTTGTCAAAACACGAACAATCAGCACTGCCAAGTTCAACATTTTGATTTTTTGACGAAAAAATGAAACAAAAAATGAAAACATTCAACACACATCGACAATTTTGAACTTATTTTGGCAACAATGGATTTCTCTCTAGACATGTACCAAAAAACAATAATAAATGTTGAATTGATCCAACAAAGACAATGATCCTCCCAAATTATACTAACAACCATAAAAGGTTTGTAGATTTCTGAAATTACATCAGCACCTCAGCTGGGGGGTAAATGAACCATCCCCCCAAAAATGGGCTAAATTTATCCCCCCAAAAATGGCATCTTTACAACACACCCGCGCCTGAGGTACCCGGCCACTTCAAGCACATCGCTTCAGGCGCGTTTTGCAGATTTGAAAAGGTGAAGTCCAAAATTCATGGCACACCAAATGCCCAAAACATATATAAGACACTGGAAACCAAAACCAAATCCGCATACGCACAAATTCAATTTTTTGGGTAGATCCTCATATAAGTCATATTTGACAGATCCCCAAATGATTTCTTGTGTCCGCCGCATTTCTTTTTTCAAGGTGCCTTCTAGCAATATGCCATCTTAGCGACTGCATTGCAAATTGCATGTGCATTTGTGCTAGTTTCTAGTGGACAAATGTATGATTGAAAATTTCCGATTAGGAAAGTGAAGAGGGACAGGCCCAACAACAGAATTGAACAAAAAATCACTTTTGACAGCTTCCCACGTTATTTTTTTGGTCCGTTGCATCTTTTTCACATGGTACCTTTTAAGAGTTTGCCAGTTTGGTGCACATTGCCCAGTCACCATATGCATGGGTTGAAAATTGAACACACAAAATCACTTTTGACAATGTCCCAAATCTGATCCAGGGAGTGGGAGATAGAACAGTTGCAGAAATTGCGATGGAGGGGGAGATGTGTTCAAATGTTCATACATAATATATGTAAACATGTATTTTTCTGACGCATGAAGATGGCATCCAGATTTGGAATAAATTGCAAACCAAAATTTGATGGGGAAACCGTAACCACCCCATGGCACACCAATACGGAACTGTGAGGTTGATTTTGACTCCGTGCCATCTTTGTTGCAAACTGTGTGCCACATATTCGGTACCTGCTTTACCAATGTTTACTTAAGTTTACTTCATTCTTAGCGCAACATTGCATAAAGATGGATCCGACAACCATGCAGCACAAGCAACCTCATAGTCGTCATATTGCCAGCCCTTTATGGTCGCTTGGACTTGGAGAATTGATGTTAGTGTCTCGTTCAAACCATCTTCACCTTCGAGTTGTCACTACATGTGGTTTGCAAAAGAGGTGTGTATTTTGACAGGTGGAAACAAGCTGAAAGTAGACAGCGAACAGGCTGGCACCGAACGAGCATTCAACACTTGTTTGCGAGCAAAGATATTGGAATTACAGCATTGGACGCTGGTAATCCATTGCTGGCAGGCATTCAGAGTCGGCGCTGCTTTGACTTTGCCACTCTGCCTGAGACGCAGTGTGGGTATCCCGGCACAACTCGCCTCGCTGCGTTTAGCCGTGGGGGGTGCGTGTAGTTTCGTTTTTTTTGCCTGTTGATTGTCCTGAACTTGTAACCCAAGTCCATGACCCTTCAAGGGTTTCACTTGGCACGAAGACAGTTTCTCGCATTTCATTCCACATTGTTCAAGAGACTATTGCTTTAGCTATCATGAATATGGGCTGGGACGTTGGATCCTAAAATATTTTCTCTGTTCTACCGGTCCTGTCTGCTGGAGTGATGTTTATTGAGACATCTCATTATCTTCATCCTGCCCGTCCCCCCACTCCTCCTCATCAGTAGCAACATTGGTCTTATTTTGACTCAGCATCATGAGCAAAAGACATTTCTTGCAACAAGTACGGCATGCAACAGTTTGTGTTTCAAATGTCCAGCTAGCTGCGGGGGGTGGAGTTGGATGCTTTTCATTCCTTAACCCCTTGGCCTCAAGCTTTTTTTTCGCTGTAGGCCTAATGATCAGAAAACACACTTTAGTGTCAGGCAGAGGGCATAGTTTTCTGTGCGCCGAGGGTCCATTTTGCGTTTTGACAAGTTTCCCAGAAGTCTTTGACGATGGGAGAATCCATATTAGAACACCCATTCAATTTGGGTAAACTCCAGCAGTTTTCTTTTATATATGGGGATGGGTCAAAACCCTGGTACCTAGTGAACCCCAAAATAGCTGGGATTTATGGATGTTCATCCCACTAAAAATGTATCTATAGGTATTGACCCATACCCATATTGCGCTGGAAAATGAATGCATTGACTGTTTGGAGGTCAAAACTCTTCTCGCAGCAACTTGCCTCGCAGAGCTGAGTTTGGAGCCCAGTGATCGGATTTCTTTAGAAAAAAATCGTCATTTTTAGCGCTTTCTGTTTCGCCATGATGTGAATAAATGTGAATAAGCCACTCTATTGTTTTTTGATTTTTCCCCTCTCTTATTCTCTCATATTCTCTCTTTCTATCTTTGACAAATGCATGTCTCATTGATATCTGTAATCAACATCGAATCAGCATAAACATGATTTCATGATTTTACATCTCTAATTTTATCTCATACATTTACTGATTGGTGGTTTGGAACATGGCTTTTATGTTTTTCCATTCAGTTGGGAATTTCATCATCCCAACTGACTTTCACTCCATCATTTTTCAGATGGGTAGGTATACCACCAACCAGGTATATATATATATTTATACCATCTGGTTATTTAACATAGCCATGGAAAATGGCCCATAGAAATAGATGGTTTACCAACCAGTTGATTGTTCCCAGTGCTTCTTCAGTTCGCCCTGGCGCGACGCAACGCAGGTGCTGGGTCTCAAGAGACAGTCCACCCTGGCGCACGCAGCTACGGAGGCGTCCCACCGATTCGAGAGATCCAGAGGTCTTTGGGAAGGACTCACTGGGACGGTGGTCACCCTTGGAGAATTTTTTTCAGATTTTATATGGGGATGATATACGAGTTTTTTTGTTGGTATTGAATGATTTAATACTAGTTTTTTTTGTTGGTATTGAATGATTTAATACGAGTTTTTTTGTTGGTATTGAATGTGACATGCAACCATGAAAATGGTATTTGGGTTGTGAGAATGAGGCATTTTTTGTCTACTTTATGGCAATTCTAAATGGCGAAAATTGGACCAGGGTTCCGAGTTGATTTGGGATGGCACTTTTTTTGTGGACAGGTTGAGAGATACATGTTTTGATGTAGCTGTGTGCAGCCCACAAATCCATCTCAACGATGCAGGTTATAGCGATTTGTCTTCAAGAGTTTGTTTTGTTTTTTTTCCTCAAGAATTTGTAAAGCTCATTTGCTTCACAACAACACTGTCTCGACTGTCTTGAGAAGAAAAAGGATTGTGCCAGCCTACAAACAAATCTAGCGCTAGCACAGAAACAACATTTGCCACGCTTCTTATGCAAATCGGTTTTTGACTTTGTCATCTTCCTCATGCAATTGTGTGGGCACTCAAGATTGTTACAAGCATGCCGGCCGCGAAATCTCGCCAGCCTGAGACTTGTGCAGGATCGCACATTTTACTTTTTTTGCACCGCACATATATATATATGTATATTATATTATATATACATACATTTGTATTGAAACATAAGAGACGAGCAGAATCTTCAAAGCTGCGGCCAGACAAACGGCCAATTTCATACAGTGCTGTGACTAGGAGGCCGTACCGGATGGTGCAAGAGTGGAGGTTGTGCGATATGTAGGAAACTTTGCTGAAGTCAGGCAGGGCTGTGGGGCTGCGGGGAGAGGTCGGGGTGCAGAGTCAGAAAGTCTCTGATCCCAAATCCCAATGTACATGTTGAGCTATGGTCAAAGAGTACTTACCTTGTCATGGAAAATCACCATTTTTAATAGGTTAATCCACTATAAATCACCATTGACAGACCTGCAACCTGCCTGCAGCTGTGCAAAAGCTGTGTCAGGACAGTGACAGGATGCCAAGGTTGGGTGCAGCGAAGGTGCCTGGCCAAGAATGAGTGTTAAGATGGGTGTACCATCTTGGTTGGCTGTCTTGCATTCCAAAGTTCAGTGGGAGTCGTGACGAGTCGTGCATCAGATACTTTGTCTTTAGAGTCTTTTGTCTCTTGAGCATCATCCTGCTTTCCGAGGTTGGTAAAAACTGTTGCATGTGGCAGTCTGATTCGAGTTGATGTGCCACAAATTCAGCCCGGCCCAGCACAATTCAGCCCAGTTGAGGTATCTTCATAGGCGCCATCTGCAGGTGGGTCATGACCTGGGCATCGTAGAATCCGTAGACCTTTTGTGCACCCTGATGGAGCCGCTTCGAGAGGCAAAGATCGTCAGTCGAGTGGAGGTTGATGAATGCTTCCATGCACCTTGTCATGTCTTGTTTTTTCCTTGAACTCCGTAACATGTTTCCATCATTTTTTTGGTGAAGCAAGGGTTTTCTGCTGTTTGTTTCAAGATGTATACAATCCATTACAATGACCTGGCTTCAGCCGGCCGGTGGCCAAGCCTGATATTTCCGACCAAGGAAGGTGACGTGCCAGTGGTACTTGTGGATGCGGTGCCCAGCGTTAAAGGATGGAAGGGCCGTGCCTTGCCACGGATGCTGCGATTGAACGACATCATGGACTCCCTTCAGCTGCGGTGCAAGTTGGCCTCCAGGCAAACAGGAGTTTGATGCAAGGTTTGGAGGTAAACCATATATAGACTATATAATAGATTATATAGATTATATAGATTATATAGATTATATAGATTATATAGACTATATAGACTGTATAGATTATATAGATGATTATATAATATATATATATATTTCACGGGGAAAACTAGGGTTATCATCTCGATGGGATTTTTGCGTTGTTAATTCTGGCATGGATTTTTGGGCGGAATGGCCGGGCCATCCCAGCGTCGCGTCGGTCCACCGAGGCTGCAGCCGAAGATCCTTGCAGCTCGGTCCATTTATGGCTGAATTTTCAAAGGGAGAATGATGATACTATGGAAAATCACCATTTTTAATGGGAAAATCCACGAATTAAATGGCCATGTTCAATAGCTTTTTGTATGTTTACCAGAGGGTAAACTATGATAAAGCATCAAACTTTGAAGTACCAGAAAATTTCGGACGAACTCAGCTTGTTGAAATCCCCATTTTATCCACATATCCCAGTGGTCCTAGTTTGAATGGTAAATTTCATGGTTGATAGGGCCTTGAGGCATTTCTTCCAGCCGCAATTCCCCGAAATTCCTGCGCTACGGGCTGGCTGCACCTGCAACAGCCATCGTCCTTGGAGCATGGAGAGAGGTGAGATGTGGAGGGGCCTAAAATTGTGTCGATGTGTTTGATGTGTTGGAATATTTTACCCTCTGGTAAACTAACATCGCTATGGAAAATGACAATTTTTACTAGGTAAAGCAACTATAAATGTGCAATTTTCAGTAGCTATGTCAGTAGTCGCTGGTGTTTCTGCCAGGGACTTGACATCACCTTCCGCGGCGTTTCGCCAGAGTTGTTGCGCTCTCTGGACTTGGTGGGCTACCTGTCAATCCCAGGTGCCGGTCAGAATCCCAAGGATATTGTGGGGACATTGTCATCGCAGGCTTGCTTTGCACCTTTCTTTATAGACATCCACCAGATACATGAGAATTCTGTTCAAAGCAGTCTGTGATTTTCACAGGTTTCACATGTCTTCACCTGGTGTCATTCAGAGTCATCCAGACTCATCACAGTATTCATCTCTTGTCACCGCAGAATTTTTGTACCCCAAATTGGAGGGACCCAAGAAAGAACTGCAGCAAGGTTTTCTAACCTCGCGATGGAACATCTTCATATTTCTAGATGATTTTCCATGTTTTCCTTACACTTTTCCATTTGGAATTATAGTAGATTATCCCCAATTTATTTGTCTTCATTGATTATTTTCCAATTCGAAAAAACCATGGATTTTCCAATCTTTTCCCATACTCACCTATCATTTCCCATAAAATTATTCCATAATTTTACCACAGTGGTTTGGTCAATCGTCGTTTTCCCCTTCTTTCCCGACCAGGCGACATCATCCTCGATGCGATGCCTCAAGAGATGTTGCCACCGGGACCTGACTTTGCATGCGCCATGCTGGGTGAAGGCGCATGGGATTTTTCATGCATCCATTTTCTCATGGTAAATCCAATGAGAATGGGATAGAATTGGGAATATAGATTTTTCCCCAACAGCGCAAGCTAATGGGGTCTTCAGCCCAGAATAGCTCCGGTGTGCACTGGTGCAGGAGCCGGGTCAGGTTCAACGAGGTTCCGGAAAAGGTTCCGAAGGTTCTGGAGAAGGTTTGGGAGGTTTTGGTGCAGAGCCAGGTCATGTTCAACAGGGTTCTGGAGAAGGTTCCGAAGAAGGTTCCGGAGAAGGTCTGGGAGGCTTCGGTGCAGCAAGGTCAGGTTCAACAGGGTTCCGGAGAAGGTTCCGGAGAAGGCCTCGGAGGCTTTGGTGAGAGCCAGGTAGGTTTAACAGGATTTGCGGCCTTTCAATTCACGGAAACCAAGCTGAGGTGTATCGAGCGCTGCTTCGCAGCACGCTTCAGAAAGATTTGTCAAAATGCAACCTTTCGGCTGTTGGGGATACCACCGAAGCCTATTGTTTATATGGGAAATATCACCAGCAATCATGGGATATTCTGCTTGAAATTTGGGTCTTGAATTTGTTAAATCCACTTGTCCCATCCCGGTTCATATTAAGGCTCCCCCCAGAAACCATAGTGGATGTAGTGGATAAGACTTGCACATGACCATAGAATGGGGGTGTTTCATTTTAGGGTGATGGGATTATTCTTCCTTTGGTCGCAGTGACTGGGTTTTGATCTCTGGGTCGACCTGGAGGTCGCTTTGGACCTAAATTCGCGGTCCCGATTTTGGTGTTTCAACAGAAGGTGACCAGGGTCTTGAGCCATAATGAAGCGTTTATTCTTTGATGGCATTTATTTAGTGCTGATTTAATCTTGGAAGACTTAATGGTGGGTGTCTATATTGTCTTAATGGTCCATAGTCCACTGACATTGTTCATGTGATTCATGACGAAGTGTTCACTGATATTCTGGTCTCTTTCCGGCGAGTAATGACGGATCAAGAAGTCATCATGATTGGTGATCTTGCAGTTGATTGTCATTGCTGATGATTGATGATGGATGATTCAAATCATCCAAGAAGATCTAAATAATCTAAAGATCAATTATTGGATTTGTTCACATCCCCTCTAAAGCAGCTAGGTTTTAATCACATAGAACTTGTGGGTTGGTTGCCAGGTGCAGACCTCTTCCTTTGCCGACCTCCCATCATTTGCGGGCACAGCATCTCTGTCTTGGCTGGCCAGCTGACGGTTCGTCTGTTGCCACCCACTTGCGCCTGTTCTGCATGTTGGTTGTTTGGGGCTTGTTTAGGGTACGATTGTGCTATGATTAGGGTTTGTTTAGGGTATGTCTTAGGTTTGTTTCGGGTACACAAGTTCATGTTTATGATTGGGTTGTTTTCGGGTTTCATTAAAGTTTCTTTCGTTTTTTTTGGGTTTGTTCAGGGTATGTTTGGGGTCTTGTTTAGGGTATACTTAGGGTTTGTTAAGGTATGTTTATGGGTTCGTTCCGGATATTTTGGCTATATGTTTGGGCTTTGTGTGGGGTTTGTTTAGGGTTTGTGTGGGGTTTGTCTAGGGAGTTTTTAGGGTTTGTGTGGGAGTGGCCTAGGGTATGTTTAGGGTTTCTCGCGGGTTTCTGGAAGGATTGTTTAGGTTCTTCTTGGGTATGTTTAGGGTTTCTTGGACAACTATGATTAGGGGTTGTTTAGGTGTAGGTTTAGGCTTTGTTGAAGGTCGACTAGGGCTTGTTTAGGGTATGTTTTGGAATTGTTTAAGGTACGTCTAAGGGTGTCGAGGGTGAAAAATGGTTGAAGGATTTGTCGGATTTTTGAAGATGTGCTTCAGGCTTCTTGATGTTTCTTGAGTGTGCTGCTAACTTTTTCAGACCTTGGAAACAGTTGGGATGGCAATGGTTGGCATCGTTGGGCTGGTCTCAATCCATCCATTGCCAATACTTTAGACCCAGCCCCGCTTGCGGTGTGAGTTCCTGACACATCCAGGCACACTATGTATTGGAATGAGATAGAAACACTTCGCAGAAGACATCCATATCCAATGTTTCGTGCTCATAATTCCAAAACCTAAAGCAACATGTTCCAGAGATGCACGAAAATGGGGATGTCATGAAATGTCATGCGCAGATTTTTCTGACGACAGCAAGGTGAGATTCCGAGTGATGCGTTGATTGGGGACTTGGGAGCCTCGCTTTCACAGTGCAATTTGCGCGGAAACCCAGCTGATTTTGGATGTCCTGTAGACCTTGGAAGTGCCAAAACAATGTCCCTTCATTTGTTGAAAACAAAATCCTAAACGTCCGGAATTTGGCGAGGGAGAAACAGGTGGTAATACACAGAAAGTTAGTGTCTAGAAAATGGGCGGTTTTATTTTTGGGTTTGCATGGCTTTGCCACATGGCAGTGTGTCAAAACCTTGTACCCCTGTAGTTCACATCAAAATAGCTGGTAAATGGATGTTCATTCCCCTAAAAAAGGTATTTTCATAGGTATTGATCCATAGCCATATGTTACAAACAGTATATAGATGATTATAGATGATTAATGAAAATACTTATTAATATTACCTGCTTATTGGCTTTGCCACATTCTCAGCTTGGATTTCCCATGGATTTCCGGTTCTGGCAGGTTTGGGCCACGGAGCCAGGGGAGTGACGGAGCCATGGAAGCTGAGCTTGGAGCAGGACCGGCTTATAGCATCCATCGATGGAACGCCATTCGGTTCCATGGTTTTTCCCATGAGAAGTCAAAATGTCCATTAAGTTCCTGGATTTCCCAATTTCCTGTCATGTTCTAGGACAGTATGCTATGACAGCTATGAGATTATGAGATTATCACCCCTTGAATGAACATATGCCGAATGTTGTAGCTTCAACATGTCTTGTCCCAACAAAAAAGGTGAACAAAAAGTGGAGTTGCACGTGGGAAACAACAGAAGTGGACTTGCCCTAGGAAAACGGAAATTCACATTCAGACATATTGCCTGATTGCACTCTGAAAAGTCTGAAGTCTGTACTTTGCTGTACAAGATCCAGTTCTCGGATCACCAAAACGCTTCATCTACATTTTGTATCCAGTTGTGTTTACCCTCCGGTGTCATCAAACAGACATGTTTACCGGGAATTTCCCTATTTTGTTCGATGATTCTACCGCAAAAAAGTCTATTTATTAGTTCAGGAGGGTTTAGACAAGCCATAGCCATTTCTGGTAACATTGGGGGTTGTTGATGGTTGGGCTTACCACATAAATCCCTTCTCCTGATATTAAATATATTTAAATATAGTAAATGTAGCCTGTAGAAAATTTGAAAACCTGGTTTAATACTAGGTCTATTCGTGAATTGGTCCACCAAGTGGGGGATATTCACCGGAAGGGATGGTCTTCAAGTTGCTGTGTTATCTCTTCGACTTCGGAGTTTCTGTGGGGGTGGGGTGGGGTGCCATTATATCTGGCATTCTTTCGGGCGAAGTTTTTCCCTGACGTTCCAGTTGACATGAAGTTTGCCATACTATCTGACATATATCCTGGCATTGTTTCAACATGGGCGGTTTGAACGTTTTCTTGGCATTTCATCTGGTAGTCTTGAAATTCTATCTGAGCCCAGATCAATCTGGGCATTTTTTGGTATATATATGTACATTTTGAGATTAAACCCCACGTTTCTTCTCACATTCTATCTGACATTCCCCGGCATTAAAATTCCATGATTGTCATAGAATCCCATAATCATCCATTAAAATCATTAATTGCCATTAAATTCCTATTGAATCTTAGGATTTTTGGGATAGATCCCCATTGGATCCCGAACGCCAGGTGATGTGCTGCTGATCCCCCCAGCCTGGTGGCATCAATGCTTGGACCGCCAAGGAGCTACGGCCTTGGCGGTGAAACCGTACCTGAACAAGGACAGCGACATGGGATTCCTGAAAGATGGGGACAAAATGGGACAAACCCACCCAATTGAATGATTTTTCCCCAACAGCGTAAGCTCCGGTGTGCACTGGTGCAGGCGCCGGGTCAGGTTCAATGGAAGGTTCCGGGAGGCTTTGGTGCAGACACCAGGTCAGGTTCAACAAGGTTCCGGAGAAGGTTCCGGAGAAGGTCTAGGAGGCTTTGGTGCAGAGCCAGGTCAACTGGGTTCCGGAGAAGGTTCTGGAGAAGGTCTGGGAGGCTTGGGTGCAGAGCCACGTCAGGTTCAACAGGGTTCCGGAGAAGAAGGTCTGGGAGGCTTTGGTGGAGAGCCAGGTCAGGTTCAACAGGGTTTCAGAGGGTCTCGGGGGGTTTGGTGCAGAGCCGCGTCAAGTTCAACAGGGTTCCGTTGAAGGTTCTGGAGAAGGTTCGGAGAAAGTTCCGGAGAAGGTCTGGGAGGCTTTGGTGGAGAGCCAGGTCAGGTTCAACAGGGTTCCAGAGAAGGTTCCGGAGAAGGTTCCGGAGAAGATCCCGGAGAAGGTCTAGGAGGCTTTGGTGCAGAGCCAGGTCAACTGGGTTCCGGAGAAGGTTCTGGAGAAGGTCTGGGAGGCTTGGGTGCAGAGCCACGTCAGGTTCAACAGGGTTCCGGAGAAGAAGGTCTGGGAGGCTTTGGTGCAGAGCCAGGTCAGGTTCAACAGGGTTTCAGAGGGTCTCGGGGGGTTTGGTGCAGAGCCGCGTCAAGTTCAACAGGGTTCCGGAGAAGGTTCTGGAGAAGGTTCCGGAAAAAGTTCCGGAGAAGGTCTGGGAGGCTTTGGTGCAGAGCCAGGTCAGGTTCAACAGGGTTCCAGAGAAGGTTCCGGAGAAGGTTCCGGAGAAGGTTCCGGAGAAGGTCTGGGAGGCTTTGGTGCAGAGCCAGGTCAGGTTGAACAGAACAGGGTTCCGGAGAAGGTTCCGGGGGGGCGTTGGTGCAGAGCCAAGTCGGGATCAACCGGGTTTTGGAAAAGGTTCGGGAGAAGGTTCCGGAGAAGGTTTGGGAGGCTTGGTGCAGAGCCAGAAGGTTCCGGAAGGCTTTGGCGCAGAGCCGGGCTAGGTTCAACGAGGTTTTCCGGAAGGCTTTGGTGGAGAGCCGGGCCAGGTTCAACGAGGTTCCGGAGAAGGTTCCAGAGAAGGTTCCAGAGGGCTTTGGTGCAGAGCCAGCCTATAGGTTCAACGAGGTTCTGGAGAAGGTTCCGGAGGGCTTTGGTGGAGAGCCGGGCCAGGTTCAACGAGGTTCCGGAGAAGGTTCTGGAGAAGGTTCTGGAAGGTCTTGGTGCGGCCAGGTTCAACAAGGCTTCAAGTAGGTTCCGGTGCGATTCCGGGAGTGTGTCGGCGTAGCTTTTCGGTCAAGTTCGACTGCTGTAAACTTATTTTTGACTTTGAATGTTTTTGATAGGGACAATTGATTGAAAAGAAACGGAGCTTAGACCGAGACCGCTATTTTCTTGGAGTCCGTTTCTCAAATTTCTGTGGCCCAATCATGGTTTCATCTAAGCTTCAATTTTATACAATTTTTCTTGTTTCATCATCTTTGCTGATGGAATCGCCTCAATGAACCTGTCACAGTCCGGGGTACCCTTCGAATTTTGCCAGGAAATGATCAGTGCAGCGTGGCAAGAAGTCTCTAGAATGCTGAACTTGGATCAGGACGGGACTTCGTAGATCTTTTGATGATGTTTCCACTATAGGTTCCACTTCCACCACTTAGCTTTCTACAATCCTTGTAGTGA